GTTCAATTAGAGGTTTTTACCAAGTACTATTAATTTGAGGTCTGCAATAATATGAATCCTCAGGAATAAATAAATGATTATAACAATAGAATCTTCGGTAATCAAATGATTTATCCCAAAAAGGATACTATGTAGTATTATCTACTCTTACTTTACTATTTCCATTAATGCTATAATCATAGATATATGTACCATAATTTTCTAATTCATATTCAACTCGCCAATAGCCAATAATCGCTGGATTGTAATTATCATACATATCAGTTCTTTTTAAAATTATTAATGAATCTAGATCTCTATAAATATCCCAAATTCTAATTTATCTTATACATGTGTAGAGTTAGCAATCTTTAGTAGTGCATTCTTAAAAGCTCATGAAATTCATTGTAAAAGTTGAATTGAAGTTAAAACTTTTATCATCTGATACTTGAGAGGTAACTGTAATCAGATCATTATAATCTTTAAATATTGTCATTCTCACAAGCTTTGTAGGCGGATAGAAACTCACTGAGTAATGATACCATTTCATGAGATTCAATTGAGTTCCGAATTCAAAAATACTAGCTACTCCATTTTTTAAATACTCTAATTTTGAAGGACTTGCTGAGTCTAGCTTAATAGAACTTACTGAGTTAGGATCTAAAGACTTAAATAACAAAAGTTCATAACTAGGAGTGCTGTATGGATAAAATCTGTAAGCAAATTCTATTGTAATGCCTTCATCTAACGGGCTGACTCTTAGAGGTACTGGAAGATCAAGTCCATATTATGAAATCTTTAGGGAAGCAGTTTTATGGGATTACCAATTAAGGTTATCATAAATAGTATCCTAGATTTCTTCCATAAATGCTTGTAAAGACCAGGAATTTTATAGAATCACTCTACAATGTTCTCTATATGGTGAAGCGTCATATAATACGGCCCCATTTCCTACGTATTGCATTTTGAAGTATCTAATCCAGTTTTCTTGATATAACACATGTTCTCTTATTCTAAAAATTTAAACTTTGAATATTAAGAAAATTACTTTAATCATTCATTGCTGATTTCACTAGCAGTCAATTTCTTATTCCAGATTAGAAATTCTCCGACAATTGTTATCAAGTAATCACTCTGCATATCCCCGAATTTTATGAATGTCTCTGTTGTCTACAGTTAAGTTAGATTTAATGGTAAAATATCAATATAAATGAGTTTCTTATAGATAAAACTTACATAAACATAATCAATTGGTCCAGCTTGGATAACGCTCTAGAATTAATCGTTAAAAAATAAATTGTGATTGTTAGTATTCGAGTCTAGTGAATAGGCTAAGTACATCCAATAATTTTGAATTAAGTTATTCTAAGAATACACAAACTAGAATTACTGATAATCAGATTTCATAATGAATTTGCGGTTTGCATTAGTCTTAAATTGCAATCAATTTCAGAAATCAAATAAGCTGCTTTCCTAATCAGGGAACTAGCTAATTTTCATCCACATTGTCACAGTTAGATCTTAAGTTTGATTTAGTTCAGGTGCCTTGCATTGTATTGTCTAATTTTGAGATAATCTTAGTAGCATTTGCTTTTCTAAAATTGAGGTAAAAAGTATATTGATCTTACACTAACAGGATATTATTGAGCAATAAATTGAGAGTTGAAGCAAAAGATGAAATATTGTATTTCTCTGGTAATATGTTTAGAAAGCTTTCTTAGCAAAGAAAAGATTAACCATTATCTTAAATAATAAAGTATTGAATATTGAAAATAGTAATAATATCTATTTATAAAGTCTAAATTATTATAAAATTGTACAAATTTACACATTCTGGCAATTTCTTTTATTTTTCACACATGGGGTTTTGGGGTTTTGGGG